TTTTTGAAAATATTCCAGTGATAACCCATATGCACGTCCCTGATGAATTTAGCGACACTTTTTTAGCATTAAAATATGTAGCACTTATAGTAATTTTTACCCTCAAAATTTCATTCGAATTACTAAAAGTACTTGGAAGAAAATTATAATAAATCGAAAGATCATTAGGAATTTAACACCCTGTAGCTACGAAACAAAGCAGAATCGGACCTATGTTGATATGAAAAATAAATATTCTTTTTACGTGAGAAATCTTCTCACGAGAAATGACACATATCTTTTGAAACACCCTGTATGCATCTAATTTAGATTTATAAAGCCTAAAGCTACATTCAGACCTTCGTAATTAGTCGAATAAATTAGTGGTTTCAATTAGCGTAGAAGTTTGTTCCTTTAATTTCAATGTAAGCATTCAGAACGTCAAAATTAGTGGTAGACATTTTCAGTTAGTAGAAAAAGTTATAAAACGTTTAATTTTTCCAGTAATTATACTTCAAAATTTGCGAGAAATGTCATTTTGGCCTTTAATTATCTTCTGTCAAGAGAAATTGTTGTTAGAAATCAAAAGTTGATTGTTTTATAAGCTAAATATTAGGCTTTCTCTATAGATACAACTGACTACCGCAATCTGTTAGGATATTCTATCTATTTTAATTGCGTTTTTTAAACATGGTGAATGATCGTAAACTAATAAATATAAACTGTAGTTGAAACCACTAATTGCCAGGTTCTGTATGAAGCTTTATGAAAGAAAGCGACACATTTTGAACACTAACAATGTTTAAATGACCTCCTTTAAAGAGCCCGGCACTTTACATAACCTATCTTTTTAAATGAGCTTGCGAGATTCGTACTAACATTATGTACCTCCAGGGCAACAATGGCTTCTTTTTCGCTGGAGAATAAAGGGAATCGAGCCGTAACAGAGACATTTTCACGTCCTAAGTGTTTCTTTAACTGTTCCACAGTTGACCTGTCCTACAAACGTTTAACAATAGAACTGGGATTTTCCCCAAAGCCCCTTCGCTCAATAATTCAGTAAAGGAAAGGAATAATTACCAGCAAACAAAAGAGAAAACGTGGGAGACGGGAAGAATGGAGATTTTAGAAGAGACGGAAAACAGCGGTGGCTCGTTATAAGGTATTTTTTACAAATTACTTAATATCTGTAAAACTTGGAAAATAAGTTTGTTATAATAATGCTTTTATTTATTCACTATTCTAATAAAGAATATGCTTTCCTTCAGAAACTCTCTATTTATTTATCTAGTAATGCTAAAACACTCTATTTGAAAGTCGATTAGAGAAAATAGTATGATTCATTGGCAAGCGATGTAAATATTTGTGATGAGGTAAAATTGTGATGTAAGAGGAGGCTTAGCTTACCGGCGCGCGGCAGGTCGGTCAGTAATTGATTGGCCGGCCGGCTGTGTAGTGTTGTGTTTTGTCACAGAGCTGACAAATAGGGGTTGCGAGTCTTTTGACTAACATAGTTGCAAGTCGTTTGACTGTAAGCCAACGGGGTCGTAAGCCAGCGGGGTCTTTGACCACAGGAAGAAAACCTCTTGTGACGTCCTGCCTTCGAGTTGGTCTTGAGAGTTTGAGGTCTCCATAATGTCTTCTCGATTGACGATGCGGCGGCGTTGGGATAGTGAGCTACCCAATTAGCTTATTCGATTGGGATGCGAATCTGTTTAGCGGCAGAATTGCGTCCGGGGGAAGCCCCTATACTATTTCAGGTGACACTAGCTAGTTGTTGAAGATTATTAATCAATAGATCCGAATAATAGTTGAATTAGACGGAAGATATGGAATGTGATATATTGAATAGAATGTCAGTGATGTCAGTGGTTAGGAGGTGGAGTATCCCCGGGTGAGTCTTACTATTTAACTATCAATTTTATCCAGATCAGTAAATGTTTGTTTTGTTATTTTCATGTACAATGAGAGAGTGCTTGCCAATGACCAACTAAATGGATATTTGAGGTGAATTTGCATTGTGAGACCCCGTTGAGCAAGCCCCAAAAATAGCGATTTTACATATCAAACAGCCGCTACACTATCCCCGAAATATTTCTGGAAACAGTACGATAAATAGAAGCCTGTGTTATAAAAATTAGTTCCCACGTTTTCTGAAATTGATCTAGACGCGCCGTGATTGGTTGTCTGTTTTTTATTGTTAATCTAGGTTCTACACTAATTTTTATAACACGGGCTTATATTTATCGTGCTATTTTGTGAAATAGCACGAGGCAATCAAGGTCAAACGTTGTTTTGACAGAAAAATAAGTAAACATGGAAAAACTGATATGAAAACAGTTACCGATGGTTAATTAAATTGGCTAATCCTCGAAGTTTACACAAGAATATTTAGTTTTAATATCATTGTCTAATATTATTAATTACAATATAGTAAAAAAAAATAAAACAGTGACTAACTAGCGGTCTACCATTTATCGGCTTATAATCCACAGTATTGCGCATCATGAACAAAATATACACAAAATTAATTAAAAAATCGTCTAATTATTTATTATATCTAGTAACAGTTAACATTTAAGTAACATTTAACCTGTAGTCTGTAGCAAAGTTTAGTTTATTAATTTGTTTTGTTTTTCGAGTTTTAATTGTCTAAATCCCTGCATAATCAATACTAGATGAATGGATGTATATCAAACCATGCTGGGTGCTTATAAAAGTATCGTTTACAGATTTCTCAGAACAAGAACAAATTTTTCGAAGAACAATAAAAGAACATTGCTTTTAAATGATGTTCGTGGACCATACTTTTGTTGACATCGGGTCAAATAATAATTTTCCCAAGCGGATATATTGATAATGTTACCAGTATTACTCATCAAGCAATACTACTCTTATATTAATCAATTATTAAGGCCGTAAACAAACATATCATATACAATTTTATATACTAATTCATTATAATAAAATTAAATCACAAAAGTCTGGAATTCTATTTCTGCAGTTTAAGTGAAAAATTTTGTTCCTAAATATCTACTATACATATAATAAACGCGTGTTGAAATATTAATTCTGTAAAATGTGGAATATATATCAATATAACATAATACGAGATGTAATTAACGAAATATCATAGAAACAACAGCTATTTTAGAAACGTCTAGGTTTACTTATTTCACTGAGATTTATGAAAAAAAAATCCTTTGCCTCCGATACAGATACCGCCACATTTTGGAAATAGCTCAAAACAAAACAAAATTGAACGAGGCGACAAAAAACACCCTTCTCTCTCCTCACGAGTAGTTTTCAGGCGCTTTTCATTATTAATTTGTTAGTCTCATTAAAGCGACGGTCTCAAATCAATGCAACTTCAAATAAAAATAAATAATAAATAGAGCATGTTAGAATAAAGAATTTAAGTTTACATCAGAAAAAATTCCTATCTATACTAATATATAAAATCCTTAAGTGACTGACATACTGATTAATCACGATCCTGCTCAAACCACTCAACGTAAGAAGTTCAATTTTGGCATACAGGTTGATTCTAGGGTGTAAGATTTTTTAAAAATATATACAGGGTGTTTCATAAAATATGACCATTGAGTAATCACGATTCTGCTTAAACTGCTTGGCAATTTTTTGGCAATTTTTTGGCAAAATAAAAAAATATATTTTCTTTACAGAATATATATTTTAAGATTTTTAAAAATGTATACAGGGTGCTTCAAAAAATCTGGTCATTGATTAATCACGATCCGGCTTAAAGCGCTTGACGTAAAAAGCTGATTTTTGGAAAACAGATTGACTTTAGGGTGTAGAGGTTCGATAAGAAGGGATTTTTCGAAACTCGAATTCTAAGGGGGTGAAACTATCCCTCAAATATTAAAATATTTTTTATTTAAAAGCCGGTGACTTTTTCGGAAAAACTCTTAAACACGTATATTTTATTTTGTTGTTTTACATATTTTAAGATTTTTCATAAATTTTTACAGGGTGTTTCATAAAATATGACCATTGAGTAATCAAGATTCTGCTTAAAGTGCTTGACGTTTAAAGCTGATTTTTGGCAAACGGAATGACTATGGGGTGTAGAGGTTCGATAAGGAGGGGTTTCTCGAATCTCAAATTCCAAGAGGGTGAAAACGCCCCTCAAATATTACAATATTTGTTATTTAAAAAACGGTTAGTCTTTCGGGAAAACGCTTGGATAAGCACAATTTATTTTTTTTTACATATATTGAAATTTTTTAAAAAATCATACAGGGTGTTCCAAGAAGTTGGATAATTTCTTAACCACGATTCTGCTTAAACTGCTTGACGTAAAAAGCTTATTTTTGGCAAACGGATTTTTCGAAAGTCAAATTCCAACGAGATGAAACTATCCCTCAAATATTACCAAGTTATATAATAATATCGCCATGTTGTTTTTTCTCATGCTGACATAAATGTGTGAAAATTTTATCCAATTTTATGTTAATGGAAATTCTTGCTTTGCTTTATCATCACCATTACAAATGATTAATTCCACGCGAACGAAGTCGCTGGTACACGCTAGTAATAGTATATTGTTTTATTAGGAATAGAACATACTATTTTTTTTCAAACGCAACAAATAATTTTTTAAACGATTTCAAACGTTCCAGATAATATAAAAAGATTTTAATACCTTGTATGTAATTTTATATCGAGAAACTATGGTTACGCTCATTGAATTTGACACTTCATGTCAGTTTAATAATATATTTCGTACTTTTATGCTTAGGCGTAAAAGTGCTTTACTTTTATGTCTAGGCGTTAAAATGGCTTTTTTATATTGTCAATCACTTCGCAAAAAGTAATACTTTTGAGACGGTTGAAAAAAAAAATATATTTTTTTGGCAAATAAAAAAATATATTTTTCTTTACAGAATATATGTTTCTAAAATAAGAAAACTCTTTTAGCAACATTGTTGATGCTTCAATGCAATAATTTCGACGAACGTCACTGGGATATTAAAAAAATAACGAAATACGCTTACCTTATGTCTGTCTCTCATGGATCCCCGGCCCAATACCGCCATCTTGCACATGGTGTCCTCTTGTAGACGTTTTAATGAATTTCCTTTGGGGCCCAGCAGTTTCCCGACAAAATTAAACTGGAAAAATTGAAGGGAGATTAGGCGACATTGTTTCGTCTAACGGAGAAAGTGTGTGCTCGTGTGTGTGTTTTATACGGCAGAAAAAACTTAATAGAGTTTATATTGTATTCTGTTTTAAATAGAAAAATAAGTTTTTTTTCGTAAAGCAAAATAAATAACAGTTGGGGTTTGGAACCTTTCATGTTAGCATCATCAGCATATGATTAAAACTAGTTTATTCATGTTATATTAACACAGTTTTAATCATCTGTTGATGATGCTAACATGGTTAGCACAACGCGCTATTATACGAATATCTCCGGATGGACCTAACTATACTTGTAAATGTTATTTTATATTTCAGCCCAAAAAATCACTCTACGTATTTTTTTGCTTATTCATTAATTATTTATTAATTTATAAAATTAAACGGAATTTTAGGAATTTAGGAATTTCCCGAAGAGATAGGGTCCGAAACGAAGAAATTCAACAGAGGATAGGAATAGAGGGATCTTTGGCAACCGACATCGAACGCCAACAACTTATGTGGTACGGACATGTCCAGAGGATGGATGACGACTTCCAAAACAAATTATGCAACGGATACCCCAACATCGAAGAAAACGTGGAAGACCTAAGAAGACTTGGAAGGAGGGTGTCACAAGAGCAATGAGTGCCAGAAATCTAAACGAGGGACAATGGAACGATCGGAAGACGTGGAAGTTAGGCATCGGACAACGTCGCAAGACGTTCTAAACCAATATATATATATATATATATATATATATATATATATATATATATATATATATATATATATATATATATATATATTGTTTAGTGCAAACCTATCTGTATATATATAATTTTGTTTTAGTGCAAACCTAAAGTATGTACCAGGATGTATTTCAGGAAAATATTTTAACTTCTATAGGGTGGCTCAAAAAAGTGTGAGCGGACCTGGATGATTTTTTTAAATGGAACACCCTGTTGCATTATTGGCTTCCTTTCAGATCACTTTCAGATCACTTTACATAACCCTAAGATATGAATAAATATATTTCCATAGTTTCAGAGATATTAAAAAATAAATTAAAAATATATATTTTTCAGCCCTTCTTAAAAAGATTATTAAAAATACAAGAACTGTTCTGAAATCAAAACGATATTAGATATTTACTTTAGATGGTCTGTTCTTACTTTGCTATAAATATGGTGATCGTAGTTCATACAGGATGTTCAATATTCTACGCCAAACTTTCTAAAATATAAAATATTTTTTCTTTGTTTTTTTAAATGGAACACCCTGTATATTATTTTTTTATTAGATGGAGAGTTTAAAAATGAACATTTATTGTATTTAGAGTATTTCAAAATTTTTAACGGTTTCGCAGATACACACAGTATTATTTCATATGGCGCTTTCAATGGTAAAATACGAGAGAAAAATTACTGGGTGGCTTTGATAAAAATTTACTGTGGAAAATGTCATATGAAATATAAAACCGCAAATATCTGCGAAACCGTTAAAAATTTTGAAATACTCTAAATATAAAAAATGTTAATTTTTTAATTCTCCGTCTATTGAAAAAATAATATACATGGTGTTCCATTTAAAAAAACGAAGAAAAATTATTTTATATTTTAGAAAGTTTGGCTTAGAATTTTGAACATCCTGTATAATTTACGATTTTCATATTTATAGCAAAGTAAGTACAGACTATTTAAAGTAAATACCTAATATAGTTTTGTTTTCAGAACAGTTTTTGTATTTTTAATAATTTTTTTAAGAAGGGCTGAAAAAATATATATTTTTGATTTATTTTTTAATATCTCTGAAACTATCAAAATTTATTTATTCATATCTTAGGGTTATGTAAAGTGATCTGAAAGGAAGCCAAAAATGTAATAATATACAGGGTGTTCCATTTAAAAAAAATCATCCAGGTCCACTCACCCTTTTTTGAGCCACTCTATAGAAGTTAAAATATTTTCCTGAAGTACATCCTGGTACATACTTCAGGTATGCACTTAAACAAAATTCTCAAGTTGTTTATTCTAGAATCTACAGATGCCCGACGCACTATTGCCGGACCCTGTATATATATAAAATTAAACGCAGGATTCAAAATTTTGAAAAATAATATGTGGAACATTTTAAATCAGCTCAGGTATAAAAAACCTGCATACAATTTTCTTGAGAAAGAAGTCTTGATTTTTAAAGTACTATACTATCAAAAAAAGGCGTTAGAGATAGCTTGGAAATGAGCATCGCTTTTATTTTGTATACAAATAATTTAATTGATCGTCATTTCCAAGTCAACTGGGCGCGTTTTTTTTTCGACTATACTTCGGTATATTTTTGGATCCATTCCGCTTATTAAATTAAATACTTATTAAATTAAAAAAAACTAGAATATTAAGCCTAATGAATGAAACTTAATCTGTGTTTGTAAATGTAAATCTACTTCGTCACTACAAAAATATTGTAAAAGTAAAGGTATAATGTTAATAAGGTATAAAGAGGTTTTGATTTTAATTTTATATCTTTAACTGTACTTTATAATCAGATCAAGATTATATATATTTTTTTTACATTACAGAATTTTCTTGGATGTGATTCGCTGTTATTTGTATTTCTTTACATATGAACTTACATACTAAGGGTCGGCATTTCTGGTCTTGGTGCCAATTTTCGTGTGTACGAAGAGTACAGTCAACAGGCTTAGTAAAATAAGATGTACTGAATAAAGAGAGAAGGCAAATATTTTTCCAAAAGCATGGAATCTAGCGTCAAATTAAGTGATTAAGTAATAAATAGTTCGTATTTTTACTCTCTCCGACTTACTAGATTGCTATAGCGATTCACTCCTATATATGTAAATACCTACCCAAGGTTTCTCTTGCCAGCAGGGCATACTGTTGTTTGGTGTCAAGTTAATATCGTCGCGTCAGCGATAAAATAAAATTTTATTTACTGATAGAGAGCCGGAGTCATAAAAATCACAAATACTATGTTAATTTTAAACAAATAAAATTATAAAGAACTTAATAAATAAAAAAGTATTACTAGAGCAGAAAAAAAATTAAATAGTGTTGCGGACCCGTACCGTGTGAACTTGGCCTTAGGCTTGGCCACTCGGCTATGACTCATACGACCACCGACGTTCGAAGAACGACGCTAAGAATTTTCGAGATATGTCTGGACTGTCTGTTTCTCTCATAGATAAGCCGATGCCCGAAACCTGAAGGAGATAGAGATAAATAACCGATCGACGCGTACAGTTACAATCGCCGCGCTAATTCAAAATAAATTTCTGTTAGATAAATAATTAGATAAATTGTAAATAAGTTATAAATAGTTCTTTAAGTTTTCTTTTAATCGTTATTGTTTGTAAATTAGTGTTAAATAAATTGTGTTTAAATAAATTGTGACTTTCTATCCACACGGAACCGACGAAAAACGTAACAATAGTTAAATATTCCAGATAAATAAAACCACTAAATCACCACAATACACCAAAACACTTTTACTTTTACACTGGACGCGCGTTTCGCTAACCATGTTAGCATCATCAGCAGATGATTATAAACTAAAGTACAATCTACAAGTTGAGCGTTTATATACTCGCCCAGTGGGCACCGAGTGGGCGTGGCAAAAAACTAGCCAACCGAGTCAGAGCCAACTGAGCGTAACAGTTAGATTTCCGCCACTAGAGTAGTAGGAACAAAGAACTTGAAGGAATTGGACCGTTGTCTCTGTTCATACTATCTTTACATTTATTACCCTGATGCTTTCATATGCATCTAATTGCCTGTAATTTAAAAAATAAAAACATTATTTTTCCGCCATCTTTGTACCGCGATATCTCCCTAATGGTTGACTTTTGACCCAACGTTTATGAAGCAAACTACCCTTTATTTTGAACAAGGAATCACCCCCTGAAGTTTTTCGCATTTGTTTTAAAACACCCTGTATATGTAAACACCGACCCAAGGTACCCCTTTTACACTCTCGAAGCTTTTGAAAGAAGTAAGCATTCGAATATTTTTATAGTAACAAATGCTGTGTCTGTAAGATAATAATATTGAATACATATCTAAGTTACTATTAAACTAAAATAAAAACATTAACTACATAAATTAATTAATTATCTCTTACTGTGATAGATTTGTGATAAATAGTTTTGAACCCTTTATGTAAAATAAAATAAATATTATTATATTATCTGTAAAATTAAAAATAGCAAAAAATACTTTAATAACAAACGACAATTGCTTTAATTAAGATTAATTAAGGCAATAATTACCTTTCTGGGGAAATCTAACTGTTCCAAGGAATTAATTTGTTTACTTTATCACAAGATGCAAATTAAGTGCTTAACACACTAAGTACGGCAATATTTTAACGTCTTCAACTTTCTTAAGATAAATGATCGAGGAGTTTTAATTGAAATAGTTAAACACAGTATTAATAAAAATAACCCATTATTGATTAAATTTTATAGAATTGCAGTTTTAGAATTTTATTTTGTACTAGCTGATATGTTTTTGTGCCACTTTGCAATATGCAATGTTTGCATACAGTGTCGATTGTTTAAAGTGAAATAAATTCATAATATCTACGTAACACAGAACTTGAAGAAAATGCTCTAACATATGGATTATTATTTAAAGTTGCTCATATTTTTAGATAAAAAATATTTCTACATAAAGCAGATGTCTACATAAATTATAAATGTTTCTAAAAAAAGGATCGGGGAATAAAATTGTCAGATTTGAAGTAAGCTCCTTCTAAAAACCGCAAGTACGTCTGGCCATTTAGATTAGGAGTAATGAATGTTTACCTTAACATTTGGTTACCAAAATCCCCGCCCAAATGTTGAAGTCATTTTTGAAAATAAGTTTCTTGTAACGAATCATTTTTCTGTCTCCTTCTATACATATAAATTTACCATAAATCAATTTGCAGCCTACTAAAAAATCGATGTTCCAAGCTCTTTTTTAAACAAGCACCT